GATCAACACGTATCACACTCCGAGTTTATGCTTTGGCCTCTGCGGTCTCAAAGATATTAGTGACATTTTGGGGGCATTTATGCTACAGATAATTCACTGCATCACTCTCTTCCTGCTTTTTTTGTATTACCTTTGTGAGATCGCATGGTACTTGTGGTTAACCAAAGGCGCCACACAGGGCCGGAAAAGGCTGCATCATCTATCAAGCGTGAGCCTTCTATTGCTAGGGGCTGCTATTCTTGACGCAATTTCGAGGCTATGGGTGATTGCCCTTGGGGTATTTTTTCGAAGCTTTGAGCCTACGTGATGGGAGAGCTAACGATATCAAAGTCCAGCTTATCGTTTGCACCATGTGGGCAGTGTACAATCAGTCCGTTTCGTGATGTGCAATGAAGGGTTCTATATACACCCTTTGAATCAAGCTGGGTTATAATTCCAAAATATCAGCCAATCCGAATTGTCATCGCTGAATTAATCATACCGTTGGTCCTAATGGCGAGGGCCTGGAAGTGGAGAAGGAGGGTGAATTGGCTTTAAATCTTGGTTATAACTCTCCCGTGTGAGCGAAATTTGCATTTACCAAATGATAATTGTATATTCAGGGGGGGCAATCCGAAGACATACCGTGGAGATCTGCGATCCTATAAGATCAGCCCGCCTACTTCGATCTCCGTCGAAAGCCTGACACGGAGCCATGGGATGTGACTTCAGATTATTACAATGCCACGACCGATTCAAGCTGCAATTCCATAGGCGCTGTGCTGGTGTCATTTTCAAACATCCAGGTCTTCTGAAAATGTAAGAAAAGGAGAGCTGGCAAGAGCAGACGGGAGAACAAGGGACTCTGTTGTGATACATACGGGGGCCGCACAGATCAGGAGCCCGCCGCACTGTAAGTTGTACAACGTCTATCTTTTCTTGTGCATAAAATAGGATCAGGCAGCGCAACATGGCTTGATGTTTCTCTAATTTTGATGGGGTATTCTTTGAGTAAAAGAATGCTCTCATCATCGGTGAGTGGAATCAAATGGCATGATCTGTTGCCGCCCTGTCAGTCGCAATAAGGTACCGGTTCATAATGGTTAATGATTAAACACGTCATCGATGCTTTTCTGTGGCATCCCCACGACTGTGTAAACAGTGCCAACAGTGAGAAAAGGTTTTTTATAAACTGGATCACCAGAAAGAAAAATACAATGCCTCCGAGTGCTGCATTAAATCAATGATGAAATGTTGAACCAGCTGCAATTGAAGGGTCGTCTGTGTTTGTGCCCTCACAATTCACAGCGATCGTTGCGTCGACACAAGCAGAATGACTCGCTGCAATGCTATAAATACCCGATCTCTTGCCAGCAGAACAGCAGAACAGTCATTCGCAAGCATTCCTTTGTCACTCTGGGTCAGAAATATCGATCGCTTTTCGTCTTGGCCAGCAACACTTCGGTATGGACTGACCTCAAAGTCATGCACTTATAATTAAAGTGGCCTTTTGCATCGCACTAGCCTCTCATTGTTCGATGCTGAAGTCTTCAAACAGCAAGTGAGTGTAGCTGCCCCGTCATTTGAAATCATGCTGACATGGAATATGTTCAAGATCAGTCCTCCTCTACTATCCCTCTAGGAAACCATTTGACGTACCTTGGATGACCTCAAAATGATCGAAGCTGCACGCACGGTGAGTTATGAATTGCCTTCATAAGCTGCCTACTGATGATTAATGATAGATCGAAGTCGTCCCTTACACAGCCGCTTCGACCTTGCCAAAATGCAGCGAACAACAATAGCCAACAACGTAAGTTTTTTATGAGCGGCAATATGGAGAGTATTCGTCCTGTGCTAACGACTCCCCGTATAAGAAGGCAACATTCGACCACGAGCCGCTCGATCTCCTTTAAGTCACCCTGGTGCGTTGCCTCTGCCTATTCCCACGGCCGGTGCTGCATTTTGGATCTCAGTGCAGATGTTATTTACTTGAGGTTTGATGTTGTCGTGCTCTCTGTCCATCGGAAACGATCGCTGATGCATCTTTCTAGTCATAGGACAAATTTCAAGATGGCACTCGCCACGACCGAGCCGTACTTCCCAATTGTCCTCAAAACTAAGGATGCACGTCGGGCCGAACCAATGAATCCCAGTGCGTTTCTATTTCGCTGTTCCAGGACACCTGCTTGAAACGTCCATTTCGCTCACGTTGACGGAACAAATCTAGGAAGGTTCACTGCCCTTTGATTAGCCATATGGTAGAGTTTCAACATGTTTTTTATCTCTCCCAGCTTTATCCTGTCTGACCAAAGGTTAAACTGTCACTATATTAGCTTCCATATCCCGACAGCCCTGCACCTCTTGTCCCATATCTGATTCGAAGCCTCGACGACGGCGTGATCCGGTCCCATGCTAGCCCGACTGAGCTATCGCAGTCTCGGCGACAACAAAGAGAAGCCTAGCATCGACGGCCACCGAGTAAGACCATGGTCTCTCCGAGGATAGTATCAACCAGTAAGGAATTGAGCTTCTGGCCACAGTCTGAGGGATAGCTCTGTCAAGCCTGGTTGTAGCTGAGCAAGCGACAAGCCAGGCTGCAGCACTGGATCTACCCCAGATCTCTCGCCGTGAGAGCAGTCGCTTTCAGGTCAGCTACTAGTTTACCCTAGACCAAATACCATGAATCTCTCCTACAGTGGTACTTTGTCCTGATACGGTTGAAGACTTACCTGTCACACGAACAGCAAAGACGAAACAGCTATTCATTGGCAGATATTGCCCACATCCATTCCCCGCAGTACAGAGTGATCCCGGGCCCTCTGACGTGTGATCGAGCTGACGCCTGCTAGATCGTCTCTAGTTTGCCTATGCTGATGCCAGACTATATTGCCGGCAAGTCTGTACCACCCTCATTCACCGGAAATCATGCTGACATAGGCAGTGAAGCATAGCCCTGGTTCGGCCGTTCCCAAGAGTCCGATCGAGATGCTGTTTGTAGCTTGTAATGGAAATCTCATCTAGGCTGCGAGCAAGGTAAGTTGCGAACACCCATCTTGCGCCAGCTGTTGATAATTGGTGCTAGATCGAATGTATCCAACGGCAAATTGCTTCGGCCCTGTCCCAATGCAGACGGCGATTCAAAGCTGCCACCATAGCCTGCTTTATGAACGAAGCTAGTATGGACGTTGTCATCATTAAGATAGTTTGTAGGCCAACTAACCATGTTGTCAGGCCGCTATGATGAAGATGACTGTTTCCTCCCAAATGCGGCCGCGAGCCGATCGGATGCTCCCCCTTCTCGGTGTTACCACCGAACGCCACGGACTCGCCGGCAGAAGCAGCCTCGCAAAGCACACGGCCAGCCGGTTGTTTCGGCGGCCACAAATTTTTATTACCGATTCAAGAGGTATATGACCAGTTTTTGATGCAAGACGGAGAAGGCCTGCTTATTGACGTAGCCGCTCAAGTTTCTTTTTGTGGGCGTGTCAATGTACACGACGCGCTGTGACGCGTCAGTGCAATCACTGCGTTGTGCCCTCCGTTGCATGCGTCTGGTGCGGCAGGTCCGCGATCACCATCAATTTCCAATACGGCTACTGACTTTGGCCGACATACCCAATCGACTCCGGGAAAGAGGTTTCACGATTCTCGTTTGAGATGAGCACAATTAATCCGCAGAGCGAATACTCGGGAAATGAATCGGAAAAACCAAAGCGGGCCGTGATTTCGGGCGGACCGCATGAAAGTTCAACTGAATGTACCCTGCCGGAATCGAACCCGGGCGTTATTGAAAAGAGAATGCGAAAGTTCCACTAGACCACGCAGGGGGGGCTTGCCGCTGGGCGGTTTTTGCTCCACTATAGCCACCGTCTTGTCAGAATATCATATCCACCGTTCTTCCGGGCAAGTACCCAGCTAGATCAGCATTTTCTGCTCGACAAGTGTCTTTTATCTGATCATGCCGACACAAAATGATACAGGAAAAGGATCAGAAGAGCCAGGCTTTTTATCGCTGATACTCCGATAGAATGTTTCCTATTTTACCGCCAACACTGTACGCAACAGTGTGGGTCTGGGGATACGTATATATAATACACATATCAGTTGAGGATACCAGAGCGGCATTACCTTTTGGCTGTGTACCGTGCCAACAGATACAGCATATCACCAAAGACTCTTCTACGTGACTCAAGTCGTCGCGTGCTCTTTGGTGATAAGCTTCATCTGTTAGCATGGTACCACAGCCGTAAGGCGCTACAGTATGTTCAACCTGTTGTAGTTCACAGGTATGGATTATATTCTTGTTCAGAGGGAAACATTAGGCTATACATATACACGAGAAGAACAAGTTGATTGGAATATAGATATTTCGGCATTAATTCCGATGGTTCGGCTTGGTTCCTGATCTGCACCAGCCTCATATCACAACAGTTCTACCGGTGAAAATTGTTCTACTGGGGCGGCGCACCCTCGTCACAAGGTGGGGGGGGGGGGGGGCTAACTAGGCACTGCTAGAGCTCGGCAAACGTGGGTTTGGGAAAAAGGTTGTATCTCTAGTCGTTAAGCTCCAATAGCCTGATTATCGATATGTTCTCGAAATCCTTGTCCTGAAGAGCAATGGTTCATGGTTCTCTGGTTCTGCATTTGTCGATCTCATACTGCAAATAGTAGACTGCGGTCGCAATTCTGGCTACCAATCTCCTATATATTCTCCGGAAAGTGCATATTTTGGTGTGCCTTTGGTGTGCCTTTCGGAATAAATTAATATTCGACTTTACAAAGTAGCGATGAGGACCAGAGAGGATCAGTGATGTCCAACCTGCACATTGCCCGTTTTTTCTGTAATTCGAAACCACCAAAGGAACCGAAGTGGATTTCAGTCTCTCTTCTCGAGAAAAACCATATTATCCTCTGTCGTTCTGCGTGCTGAGAAACTCGCGCATCTCAGTACGGAGCACGCTATCTCCAAGCTTAGGGTAGATCAAAAGAACAAGCCAATCAGAATACTTGAATTTAAATCAGAGTAAAATCGTCCAAAAGCTGTCCCAGTAGCCTTTGTGTGCTTTCGGCTTCTTATCCAGGCCCATCAAGTGATATGCAGCCGTTTGTGCGCCGCGGACGTTGTACTCCATAGAAAACACGGTATCGTCAGGGAGGCCCACAAATTGGACGATGAGCGCCATATTTTGCACGTTGTCGGGAATCGTACTTGGGCGGTCGCCTTCGTCTCGCTTTAGGTACTGCGCTGTCGCGAGTGGCATCAAGCTAGTCACTGTGACGGAGTGCTCAAGTATCGAGCCCAAGAGGGAACTGCATCTGCTGGAGCACTTCCATCAGAACCTCTTCTCCGGTACAATTGCTCATAGGTTTGCGGATGAAGTTTCCCTCCCGCGATGGGGACAGCGCATAGCCCCATATCGGTGGGGCACTTTCGGTTGGTCGTCGAAATGCTGCTGCCGTGGTACATTTAGGCTCAACCGCCAGTTGTTGTCCTTGAAACTCACTAGCGTACCCGTGCTAGGTAGAGAGTGCACCAGGCATGCAAAACGCTCAAAGAATTCCCAGCCATTCAGCATCACAAGGAAGCACTCATTGGTCGACTCAGCGATGCGCGCGCAAAAGGGTGACAAATCTACGAATTCCGGATGTTCCTGCGAGAGCTTACACCATAGGCCCCACGAGTCGTCGAGCTTCAACTCCTCGACATCGGGAACCGGTGCCGGAGGAGAGCAATTCGCGCCCAATGTGGAGCCCGCGAAGATAGATCCGAGTGTGATGATCAGGATATCTTTGGGGCAGATATTGACAACGATTTCCGCGCCACTCTGCAAGATCTTAAGGCCGGATGCCAGCATCGGGTCACTCTCAGAATTCATCATCACATCAAGGACCTTAATATTATGTTCGAATTTCACACTCTGAGCTTGCAGATAGGAGGTAATCGGAATACCATCTTGGTAAGGTGTCTGCGAAGATCCAAGGGCTTGCGATAGCTAGATGCTTCTTAGAAGGAGCGGATTATATCTGTGCCAGTGGGACTGTAATAGTAGATATGGCTTAGGATGGGATATTGTGACTGCAGAGACGGCGGAAATTACGGGTACCCAGCATCCACGCCTTTTGATGCATTAGGAGACCGGGCTCGATCAGGTGGTGTGGGATGACTCGCAGTACCGTGCAGTGTCAAACCTTGGGACGTTGGTCCATGGCCCGGTCCAGGTTCTCATCATTACCACACCTTGCATTTGCCCATCATAGAACCTATTGAATCGGCTATCCGTCGGGTCCGACACGTACAAACCTTGTGGCAGTGGGTCACTTTAATTACGTAGCTGTCAGTACTTTTCTCCTTTTTTTTTTTTTTATTCCGCACAGTTCAAAACCAAAGCTTGCAATTTGTCATTAATTAATTGGAATGAATCTTCTAAAGGCATTCAAGCTGCTCCCTATAGTTATTACATGGTTAGGGGTGTACAGCCACCCACCCGCCCAAGTTTATCCCAACGAACGGAGTATCTTGCGAGGAAGAATTGCAAACCCGCAACGAGACTCGCTAGCCACGAGTTCTTCATTGTTTTGCAGGCGAGCAATTCCCAATGCGCCTGATGGATACACCCCCCAGAGCGAAGCTTGTTCTGTAGATGAGACCATCTATTCGCAATGGGTCGACGTTGTCGAAGGACGAAACTGCATGGCTGGAACAACGACGAAATGTTACTGTGGATGCGATGATGCAGTTCCTGGGCCGACTGGACTTGGGCTCCTTTAACGCGACTTCATACATTAAGAAGCATGCGGCCAATACATCTGGGCTCCCAAATATTGGCCTTGCCGCATCAGGCGGTGGTTACCGAGCATTGATGAATGGCGGAGGCGCCCTACAGGCCTTTGACTCTCGAACGGTTAACTCCAGTCTTCCGGGCCATCTAGGAGGTGTCCTACAGTCGGCGACTTACCTCACTGGGCTCAGCGGCGGCAGTTGGCTGGTAGGGAGCATCTATTTAAACAATTTTACGGACGTAACGTCCCTGCGTGACAGTGGAACGGTGTGGCTGTTCCAAGATTCCATTTTTGTCGGCCCAACGCAGAGTGAGCTCTTCGCCGTCAGGACGTCCGAGTACTTCTCACAGATACAGGATGCGGTGACCGGAAAATACAGCGCTAGCTATAATTCTTCCATAACGGATTACTGGTAAGCCCGGGCACTTTGCAACGCCTAAACTTCGGACGATAGTGCTAATGGGGCCATTAGGGGTCGGGCGCTCGCATACCAACTTATCAATGCCACCAAAGGCGGTGTCGGTTATACCTGGTCATCCATTGCTCTGAGTAGAGATTTCCAGAGCGGAGGTATGCCCATGCCTGTTGTCGTAGCGGACGGTAGAGCTCCTGGACAAATCCTCGTTCCTGCAAATACGACATTGTTCGAGTTCAATCCGTGGGAATTCGGCTCCTTCAATCCTCCCCTAGAGGCATTCGTGCCCTTGGAGTTTCTCGCGTCAAACTTCTCTGCCGGGGCGCTTCCCACAGACCAACAGTGCGTTCGCGGATTCGACAACGCCGGGTTCATCATGGGGACGTCGTCATCGCTCTTCAACCAAGCATTCTTAATGGTCAACAATACTGAGGCATCGAAAGCAATGAAGAATTCCGTCAATCGGATCCTGAGCTCGATTGGAGAGGCCAACCAAGATGTGGCCGTTTACGAACCGAACCCCTTTTATCTATACACAAGCCAGTCCCAATACTCCAGTTCTACCGTCTTAACCCTAGTGGACGGTGGAGAGGACCTTCAAAATATACCCCTGGAGCCACTTCTGCGGCCGCAGCGCAAAATAGATGTGATTCTGGCGCTAGATTCGTCTGCTGATACGAGTTCGCAGTGGCCGAACGGCACCGCCATGGTCGCCACGTATCAGCGCAGTCTGAGCTCCCTGGGCCACAGCAGTGGTATCGCATTCCCATCCGTGCCGGACCAGAACACTTTCATTAACCTGGGCCTTAACAATCACCCTACTTTCTTCGGCTGCAACAGCTCTAACGTCAGTGGCTCGGTGCCGCTGGTTGTCTATATCCCAAACGCGCCATACAGCTATCAGTCAAATGTGTCAACGTTCGACCTGCAGTATAATACCACAGAGCGCGACGCCATAATTGAGAACGGATATGAGGTCGCCACGCTGGGTAACGCAACAGCCGACCCCGACTGGCCGACCTGCCTAGGCTGCGCGATCTTGAGTCGAAGTCTGGAGCGCACCGACACAGCCGTCCCAGAGAGGTGCACGATGTGTTTCCAGCGATATTGCTGGAATGGCACGAAGAATAGCACTGATCCGGGGAACTACTATCCTGCCTACAAACTATCGCAAATATAATTCAGCAGCAATGAAGTGTGACGGGTTCTGCTCACTCACGGTCGGTTTCCGGGAATGGCTGTCTATCTCGCGCTGGTGTTTTCACTCTCAGGATAAGTGTATATGTATATTCGCTGTGGCCGCCTCCGTATTTCCTTCATGTATCCAACCTTTTTTTTGATTAACCTTGGATGATGCTACCTCTGGTTATTGTCGAAAGGCATACTTTCTAGTGTTTTTATCACCACTTAAAACCGGCAGCGATGTTAACAAATCTTGAAATTTTATGCACTTTCACATTAAAAAGAATATTATGATTTTGCGGCGTGCACTGGTTTCTAGCATTCGAGTCATGCCCACTGTAATTGATCTACACCACATCTCTAAGTGCCGGTAGATTATCCACGTGAATTTTTCTATTTCAACACTATTTTAAGCGTTATTTTGACCGAAATCATGTAGTTGAAGGGACGCAATATTCAGTCCGTGCTACTGTATCCCCCGTGGTCACCAACAGCCCCTATCCTTAAGTACACCCTGAGTACTAGTATCTAGCGAGTTCTGGAGCGTTAATCTCAAAGACATACTCCTCGAGCTTTGCGTTATTTTCTGGATGCCCCTTCAGTATGCTAATTTAAGATCCGGAATAAAGTAGCGCTTTGCGAGTATTTTGATGGTTATTTCGCTACGCCCAGACTCTTCGGCCACTCGTCAAACCTAAGCGACTGGCCCTAGATCTAGATCTTCTCACAATTCGATATTGGACGAATTAGTCTCTAGGCCGCCGAGTAGGACCGACGCACCAGGAGCTATGAACGCCTTGAAAAGGGGCAAACTTGAACGCTATTGAATCTGGTAGCCTCAGACGGACCGCTCTCCAGGCATTAGCTAAAACAAGACCATGGACAGATTGTTGGAGTGTTTAATCAAACAATATTAAAATTCGCCTGTTCGTTTCCTTTCTTGGTCGGAGTAAAACATACATTCACATCATCCCAGACAGCTCATTACGTATATCCAAACAAAGCTTCTCCACTAGCAACATCAGCATCCCCGAAATCTCGGCATTTGTGTCTTCCAGTTCTTTCAGGGGATCCATGAACTTCGTCATCATCTCATGTTCGGACTTCACAGGGGCAAAAGGTGGCTTGCGCTCAGACGAACAGGCAGCATCGTGCTCTCCTGCATGAAACAGGGGGATAATCCTCGACCAAGTGCAACAAATATTTTCTTCATGCTCAAGAGACTCGTCCCTCATCATAGAAGCAAGATTTTGAATCTCCTCAGAAAGCTGTAGCTGGAATTGCTCGAAGGGTAGTAATCTCCGTAACCAATAGTCTTGAGGGAGGTGAAGGTAAAATATAACGCCACAAAGTACGTCCAACCGTCTTGGTTTTCGGGTTGACGAAGAACGGCGGCGCTAAGAAACCATAGACGGAACCATGCAACCAGAAAAAGCCCTAGTTCCGCCCACCTTCGTCTTCGATAAAAGTCGGGCGTGACAGTATGCAACTTTAGAATCTCTTTCCATTTCGGGAATGAAATTCGACTGGGTCGTTTCCTGAAGCTCTTGCACTGAAGAGCTCTTGTCGAGCTTTCTTAATTCTGTGCCTAAGTTTCATGTGCCTCATCTGACTTATGAAAGAAGTGATGGACGTTATAACAAGACCTAAACTGATGATCCCGCCAGTGGCATAAGGAATTAGTAGACTTCGGCCGAGATGAGTTTGGGGAGATAGGTCACCGACACCGATGGTGAGAAGGGTATAGTCAGTAGAGTGCAGAGCGTCAATCAATGACCAGCCTTCAATGCTACTGTCTATAGCGGCTCCACCGAGAAGAAGAATGATAAAAACATTGACGCGGAAGACGATGCTTGTGCATTCAATTAGTCGCTTGTCTGCCGAAGTGAATGTCTTGGCTTTCACGCTAGCTATGTAAATTGCGAGCAGAATCGCTGTCAGAGTGTACAATCCGGCGGCTATGATGCAAGCGTAAAAGCTCTCTGTATATATTACGTGTTGCTGGGCGTTACCTTGAGCTTGCCGATGTTTCTGAGCTTCGATACCTATTAAGACAAATAAAATTACTGCCGAGACGAGCCAACCACATGCTGTCACCATGTATCCATTGAGTGAGTCGGAGTGAAGGACCATGAAGAGTAGGTACACAGCATCAGCGCCGGCAAATAGAACTAGTGAAGTCGCTTGGAGTCCCGTGATCCTGTATTCATTCAATAATTAGCGTATATAGCATTGAAAGACGACAAAATCACAGTACCAACTTGGTTTAGGAAGCGCAGAAACTCGTCCTTCAGGTTGTATTAGTTGTTGCCAGCTGTGTACTAGCCCGCAGGTATTGAACATGAGTGCTATAGCACGTAAGGCTCCCTAGAAACTCGTTTATCAGCTACAGATACGGTATTGGAAGGAAGCGGGTCATGATGATACCGCAATAACCAGGAACCCTGTCGAGAAAGACAACCAGTGTTAGTCAATTGCCTATTACTCTGCAAAGTTCCGTTCTCCCACGGGGAGATGTGTATATTTCCACTGTACCTCAGCATCTTCTGATCCGATTTTGCCATCTCCTGTCTAGCGAAGGCCTTCACTTATGAATAGCAGAGGGCCCAATTCGGCTGAAGCCTATGATGTAGTTCGACGGTTTCGTGGGGTGAACCATGCGTATGCCGGTTCCGACCACGGTTGAAATACACTAGATCGTAATCATATTCCCCAGAAATCCGAGGCTTGCCAACGTTTTTCTTTGTTAAGAGAGATACGACAATGAAATTCTTAGTAGGAGACGAATTAAATTCGAAGACTGCATTGGCGAGACAATCACGCTTAATTCAAGTGAAAAGGGTTATGGATAATATAGATAACGTAAAGATATACAATGAAAAGATGATCAGCACATACAAGACGACTCTACATTAAGATGGTGTACAGGAGGCTCGTCGGGGTGAGATGAGGAGCTTCAGGATGGTTGCAAATCAGTTTGCAAGATCAACAGTTGAGGGGTGCGTCCTACAGAACTTCCAGTGGGCGGGACAACGTTTGCGCGCCATTAGTCGGTCCGTCCTATGGGTAGGGCATGTCAGAGGCCGAATTGTTCTAGGCCCTTGCAAAGCAACGAACAGCCAGCTAGAACTTTTGATCAGTGCCAAACTTATTGTCCGAATATAATACGATGGACACGGAGAGCGGTGGGTCTTAGCCTTATGCGACGAATGGTAGAGAAGGAAAATCTGAATTGCAAAACTAGCTGGTACCATACAAATATAAGGAATAACAGATCAGTACAACGTTACAAAATTCCCCAAACGCTTGGCAAACATTAAACATTACGTACGTAATCAAGTTCCGATCCACCCACTCCTACACCACCGACAGGATCTATGGGAATTATTAAAGAAAATACAAACTCTGATCTAACCGCATATGAATTACGGAATAACAATAATCCCCAAGCCTACTGTCGCTACGGCATGTGACTTTGTGCCCGTCCAAACGTACAATGCTATAGATATTAAGTTGGGAAAGGTTGACAATCGATCCTAATAATGAGCCAAGGGACTAGCCATAGATCTATCTTTGTACTGAGACTACCCATTATGTGCATGGATCGTCATCGTGATCTGCATGGGTAGTTGCTCTATGCACTCGTAGACGTCGACCGACATTAAGTGCGCTGAGTCCCCGACGGAACACTTTCCAGCATCTGAAACAGCTCCCAGGAATACTATGGACGCTCTCATCGACTTGGTGGCGGTGCTCGTAACTGCAGGTCTAGACCGATAGATGTTGGGGAGGGTTGATTTCTATAAACGTCCTGATTGGGCAGGTTCACTTCACGATGGGTCATTCGGCACGCGTTACTAGCGCAAGGATCATCGGAGCCCCGCAATTCGATTCATGAGAGAGTAGATGTACCAAATTATTACAGAGAGATTTCAATACATCGTGATTTCTCGAATCAAACCTGATTGAAAAGCGCACTTTGAAGCCGGGGAACGGGGAGAGGCGCAGAAATGTACGATCTCGTTTCTGACTGAGGAGTGGGAGTACTAACAAAAAGATGGATCCACCCCTCAGCCCCACAATATCCCCATCGACGCTTGTGCTAGCGCCACATGCATATTCGAACGCATTCAATGATTTTATACTGATGCAAAGTAACCATTTCCCAATTTTTGCTACATCAACAGTGCTCTACATCTGCTGTGTTCCAAAAACAGTGAGCCCCGTGCGCCATTATAGGTCGTTTTGAAAAGTATTACGATGTTACATGCCTAGTGTCCTGAGTTGGTCCGTCTTCCTGGTCTACACAGGATTGCCAAGGGCGCATTGGGGATCCTGAGCATTCTTACAGCAATCGATGGGGTTTCGTACTGTGACCGAACCCATACAGTACATTTGATGGATTCCCATTCATACAACAATTTTCGGGCTGTCGCCTGTGTGCTAGACCATCTGCAAGGGCTGTTGACCCGCAGTCCTGCTGACTTGACTAGCTTCCCTCCACTTGCAGAGGCCCAATTATAAATAATGCCCCTGGTTATTCCTCGTAGACCGGGCAAGATACCACGAATCCCATCTGTCATCATGAGCCAATTCGTTATGCCGCCTACAGTCAATGGCTCTAATATCGATATTTCAGGACCTGTCTGCCCAGTTCCCAGATTATCCTACAGCCGGAGTGTCTGCTTTAGCGGCTCCGCAAATGGTCAGACGCAACGAGCTACAAATCTCAGCACTGTATATTGCGAATGGTACATGAATCTAACGCGAAGTTGTAGGACAATCGTTCTATCACCCCGAATCCGAGCAACTCGCTGTAAATCAAGCCCCGCCAGCAAGCTACTTCTACACCTGTACTCTCCACGGTGAAAACTGTCGACAGGCTGTACATCAAAGTAGGCAACAGCTACTAAAACCTTCAGTTATTGGCTCTGCACAAACCGGCTACGACGCTGCCGCAACTACCAAGGAGCCAGAGCGGCCAAGCAAAGAAAGTATGACAATTCATTAGCAGTGTACGGACCAAGAAAGCGCTTAGAAATTCAGGTCTGACAGTTTTCGCATGAATAGGTTACGCAAACAAATACAACACACTTCTTAATACCGCCAAAGGTATTCTATCGAAGCTGGTATATCAGCCACCTGATTTCCCTGTTCCAGACATAATGGTGCTATATGGATACGCATTCGGCACGCTGAAACCTGAAACCTCCTTCAGCGTTCTCCTCCAATAGACTCAGATCTATAGCACCAGAGCTCCAAATTACGGATATTACGGCAGGTTAGGCCAGTACCCACCCAGGTGGATTCGCTAACTCCAAGTAGACTTTGGGTCCCAACTGTTGAATATAGTCATAAAGGATTATGGTAACCAGCAGTTTATATTTTTCCGGCGTCTTAATGACGCATTAAGATTTGTTAAGATTGATGAAAAGGACAAGCAAATAATCAAGTGGATTATTGCTGTAAGGAAACTTCAAATCCAGACCCATTTTTTGATTTTTACGCTCGAATCATCAGGCCACAACCCTATTTGATGGATGCAGTTTATATTTTCTTTTAATTAGTCAGCTTGGTCTGCAATTATCATGGAAATCAATTGAAACAAAAGCCCGCAATGCTTCCTCACCAAGTCTTTAGTGTAGTTTGTTCAACAATCGAGTATATGCCATCGCCATTGAGGATAAAGGGTACCTAGCGCATTCGAATTTCCAAAAGTAAATCACTCTGCAAATCAGCATTGGTAAACATGTGGTCATTCTCTTTTCAAATTCGCGACGGAGTACTTCGAGGGCCAGCCGTGTTCCTTTGGAAAGGTTTGAGCATCTTGTAATGGCGTGTGTTGCGCGAACATACTCTAAACTCCAATGTTTTGTCTTAATAGTTCCAGGCCACTGTTTTCGGTGAAATGCAAGGTGTAAAGCACAGTAGCCTAGCTGGTATAATCGTGGTCTTTGGATTGGTATATTAGGGACCAAATCCATGTATTTCGGGACGTTTTCGCAACATTGGATGGCGCAAGCGTGTTTCCCCATTGCAGTATTATGTACCAGAGAGCTATGGGACATATCCTTCTTGGTAGCCTTGTGGTTGTGACAAGCTTCATCATCGAATTCGGATATCTCTTTTGTGTCAATTAGCAAGGAATATTGTGGAGCCTACGCAGGCAGTACGCAGACAAGTGGCATGCAATAAACAGGTGATCAGATGCCAATTTACTTCTCTGCCCATTTAATGAAATAAGGAATGAGAAATAAAGAAGTATTTGATAAATGGAAAGCCAAAATCAGCCACATAAGAGACAATCAATGGAATTTTGTTTCATTGATGCACGAAATGTGGAGTCCCAGTGACAAGGGTCCTGAAGAATAGAGCCCATCAACTAATTTGCTCACGGCGGTCTTTCTGGGCACTATTTGGCTTCACCTTAGTATTAGAATTCAAAGAGGTTATTTTGCAAGATGAGTAGCTCGGCACTAGTAGCTGCAACGTACTACTTGCCTGAGAATACTCGTGGTATTTCCAATGCTGAGTCTCCACTTCGTTTTTGGTATAAGCAGCCCCCAAGTCTACCTGAAATTCCCAAGGAGGTTATTGACGAAAAACCCCGGATCGAGACACGGCAATGTAGGCAGAGTGGACTGTGGTGACATCATGAAGTGCTGAGCGTAGGGAAGGGGTTCCAAGCGGGGCCACATGGACAGTTGGAAGCGGGCAGTCTGCGCTACTGAGCATACTTGGGAGATAATGTCGAGAATCTGCTTACGCACCCGAGATAGATCCCACATCGCTGTCTTGATTCGTGGCAGGAAAAAGATGTGCTCGCCGATCAACTCATCGCTGAGCGAGTCAAATCTTGAAAGACAAAATTCCACCCAGTAGACTTCCTCTGATAGCAAGAAGGCGGAAAAGCACACAAAAAGATCCTCCGCCTTGGTAGACGGAGACAGAGGATCCGGACCTGTCCACGGAAAGCTTTGCTGGTTTTCGTGGTTCGGATAAAATACACAGTCCACCAAAGATAGTCCGTAAATAACAGAGCTGGAGGCATCTGATAAGTTTATAGAAGCCTGCCTCGCATGGCTGTGGTTGGTAGCAAGGCAGGGGGGTACAGCGGGTACGTTGGAAGACTCCTGCCAGGCTGCGTGGATGTCGATATCGGAGACACAGTCTATATGACGGTAAGTATGAGTTTATGGGTGATGTGAACTGCACTTTACGAACCAATTTGGGCCAAATTATTCATTTTCTCGGACGTCGGTAGTTCTAGGAGCTGGAGAGAACAGAACCGGATCATTGGTATTAGATCGACAAACTTGTGGGTTGGAAAAGAAGCGAGCGAATAGGCCAATTTAATCGTCTTATCAAAGCCAGACATTGTATTACTCAAAGGGTCGATTGATACTTCAAAATGATCTTATTTTAGCAAAGTATGAATAGTCACAAACTCAACGGGAATTAAATCTCGGCTGCATCGACGTCTCACCGGTCATCCCCGTTGATCGTAAGGGAAGATCATCCAGCACCGTCGCCTTCATGCATATTCATCAATGTTTGTTGATGCTTCAAGGTCAATTCATCTGGTCAGAATTCCGGTCATACGTCCGTAACGCTGAGATGACTCCAGCCTGAACAGTGTGGGCTGCCCGCCCACGGTCCCACAGTACCAGCGCCTGCTCATTACAACGCTGCAGGAGAAGACCATTTTCAGCTTCTAGTTCCTCGTTTGACAGCCAAAGTTGGTGTCGCTCGTTCTCGAGTCGGACTTTCCCGGCAGATTTGACAACATAACATTGCAAAAGACATAGGAACAAGTCGAGCAGGTCGAGAGCTGACTTCACGACAGATGAGCCCAGGCGTAAGATCTGCTTGAACTCAGTCGTCAGAAGGCCGGCAGCGCCAGTAGGATTCTATTACATGTTAAGGAGATTATATCTTTCTCACTAGAATGAGCCTGACCTTGAATTCGATACTTTCACGCTTCGAAGGTTCTCGGAACAGGCCATGCAGGTCGGCGGTAGCGTCATTCCCCCGGCTATTTGGAGAGCTGACGCGGTCTTTTAGTAGGTCTCTCCGCCGATGGAGGACAATCTGGTGCATCCATTGTGTTCACGAAGCGAGTTGTATGGGCCGAAGGACTGTCGGCAGAGGTGTTTATCTGCTATCATAAGGGGGGGTGGTATGTGAGGCCCAATGAAGTTCGGACGCCCGCAAGTATCAACCTTTTACCCGAAATGGCGTTACATTTCGATGTATGTTTCGATTAATGCACATTTGACATATCGCATAGATGGGGAGCAAAAGCAGGGTGTTGTAGAAAAGAAAATTAAGGCAGAGAGAAAAATTCTTCGGCAACAGTTGGGTCCTGGTGCGCGTCAAGCTATCAACGCCGCCATTTTATGTAGGCTCGCCCTCTTCTCAATGCATCAAGTTGTTGACCTTTCATCATACCACCTTTGTGTATCGTCCATTATCCACGCATCTTCACTGGTTCAAAAATCTGTTGCCGTGCCTTGCAGTAAATCCTCGGTTTATTGGAGATCTATTGTGGTCGGCGGCTAGTTTTAGTGCATAATTGATGACATTACGTGGAAAGACATGGCAGATCGTAGTACAACGCTTCAGCTAGAGCTTGATTTTCGCTATGTAGATCGCATGAAATGGATGTCTCGATATGGAGGCCTCAGAAATGCTTCTCGTTGCTGAGTTTGACATAACTTTTTGCAAATTTCATTAAACTGTTATCCACATGCTTCACGAAAACTTTAGTTGTTGCTGTTGTGCCTTTCTTCCTATTCATCGAGACATCGTCGCCGCGAAATCAAGCTGGCTTTAAAGAAAACATCCGGTAACGTATGCTGTGAAGGCGTCGTTCGAATTGCAAATGTCTGAAACCCCGCTTTCGTTAAAGCTGCCTATTTGGTGAGAGTGAGTGATTGAGTTTGCTGCGCGACACAGGCGGATGTCCACGATTCGTTTTAAATGTTTCAGATTTTCTCGGGATCTGAGATCTTTTTACCATATTGTCCGTTGTCTTCCCAGCAGGCTTTTCTTCGTTAAACCCAGATTGAGCCCAATTCTTCTCCGAGTAGATAGGTGCTTGTTTGGAAGGAATGGCGGGATCGAATCCCCAAAGGTCCGGTGTGTTGCAGTCTTTCTCTTCAGTTTGGCAATGAAAAGCGCTATCAGGACGGTAGAACTCCGGGTTGAGTCTCATTGGTAAGTCACGGGATTCCGGTTCCTCGGGATATAAGCTTGTGGACGAATGCCACGCGATATCCTGCTTTTGATGTCTTGAAGGATTTCCCGTTTCCTGGTGCGGCTTGTATCTTTTGTCCGTCAATGGAGTAACAGGATCAAAGCCAAAGTAATTGTTTTCATGCTCTTGCTCACGCCACCGCTCCACCACTTGACGCGTTCGGGAGTCTCTTTTAGGTCGATCCATAATATAGAGCGAGCATGTGAAGCTGAATGAAAGGAACGCCCCTTTTGTTTTTCTAACAAAAGGCTGCAATCGTGAACGCAGACATATGTAAGTGTGACAGCAAAAATGTTTGAAACTTGGAAAGTACATAGCGGCTGATTGGTCGGAGCTTTCAACCACGGGAGGGTTACTCGCACGAAGATCCGGTTTTCGTTCCGGCCTTAGTGCCATCTCATAGCCCCACCCCGCTTAGGAACAAATACTCGCAACGGGATTATTTGTATGCACCCTTAGCTCACGTAATTAGAACCATCTATAGCTAACGGCAGTTCATAATATCCGAATGGGTCATTTCAAAGATTCTCGATTGGTGCAAACGTGGCCGCCTTGCTCAGTGTTCCTCTTCAGATGCGGCTTACCCAATATGCACGCCGGACGGCGTTGCCTGCAGTTGCTCCTGCGTCAGCGGTCGGTACGGAGTGCCGGTCTGCCGGAGGCACCTCAAGTCACACCGGATCAGATGTCCCATCCGAGCGTGCCACAACGCTCCTCAGCCTGGTCCGCTCCTCTGCCCGCATCTGCTTCGAGTATCCCTTCACCACTAGTTTCAGAGGTTGACGCTGTAAAATTTACGTCATTTGACTTCTGAGGGTCGTCGACGTCTATTACCACCGCCTACGGTTCCAGGAAACATGGGGGGGGTCATGGGTCGCCGGCGCCCTTGCCGGTTGGGGTTGCTCTCGAGATCTCTTGCTCACATGGCACCGCAGGATCAGTAGATTCTCCTCCGCATGGTAGGTGGTCTCCACGGTCCGTCCGCGGCGTTGCACAAAGAAGTTCTGCGGGTGCACCACCACCGAGTGGCAATCTCGACTAGCTTCGGCACGCTGATCAGGTTCATCCCGACGCGTGGCACGAAGTAAACATTCTTCAACACCAGGGGTTGGTTGAACTTCCCCCGGAGTGTGAGCTTCACCGTCCCAATTCCCTTGGCTTCCACTGGGTCGCCTGCCGTGTCCAACATCTCGCGATGGGGCCGAAGATTGCTGAAGCAGTTCCGTTCCGGTCCCAGCAGATGTGGCTAGTGGCGGCCGAGTCCAGGACCCACCAGGTGATGGTTCGGGGGTATAAAGGGTCGTCACCCTCGCCCTCACGATATTGATCCGCGGTCTTGGAAGCCGGTGGGCCTGCCGATCTTCCATCTGGCCTGAAGGTATCCTATGCAAATTGCTTCTTGGTGAGCCGGTAACACTCCGTTCAGCCTTCGGGGGTCCCTGAACGACTGTTCTTCTCGCTATTTCTTCCAGCACTGCGCGACGCGCTTCTTGCAGTAGTTGCATTTCTTGGTGTTCTTCTGCGCCGTATTGATCGAGGGGTGGCTCGGTCCCCGGGGGCTCCCGACGGGAACGTCGCGGCGTCCTTTCGTTGCACCGTCTGTTCGGCGTTAGCCAGACGGTTTCCAATCGTGGCCGGGTTGACGGGATCCTTGTCATTCTGGATCGCATACACAATCTCCAGTCCGATCTGTGTCAGTAGGATCGCAATGTACTTTGTCGCCGATAAATCCAGGGGCGATCGCATTCAATCGATGCAGAAGCAAACCTACATGATCAACAAATTCACGACCACTGCCGCAACGCTTGCCAGTGGTCTCGCGCAGCTGGGCGAACAGCTCGCAGAATGTGGCGATCTCCATCCACCGGTATCGTTCTTCGATTTGATTCCAGATATCACAGGACGTCTCGAGTCCCGCGACATGAATGCTGATGTGGGGGGACAAGTACCCGAAGATGGTGTGGTAGGCCTCGGCTTCGCGGCGCGACCATTCACAGTGGCGCTCGAACGCCTGGACTCCACACGCGCTTCGATGGCTCGCTGTCTCACCGCCCCATTGAAGGGGCTCCGCCAAGGGGTGGAGGTGCGCCGTAATAGTTTTGGCGTACATACTTGAATAGACAGTCAGGACGCTGAAGGTCGCCCGACACGACATCCAAGACCTACCTAGCTTTGTGAAATGAGGTCATGAGACGTTTCCAGGTCGCGAAGTTGTCGCTTCCTGTCAAAGGCTCGATGGCCGCAACGGCACGGTCGGGCGAGTCGTGGACAAAGCCCGACATGATGATGATATGTTAGAAAACGGGGTAGATATATATCCAGGATGAATGAGGTGGTTCTCATATGAGTAGAGACGGCGCCCGAGGAATTGCTCCCGGGCTCATAACTTGTTGTAAGTCAGAGGTATGAATTGATTGTTTTGTACCAGAGGGATTAATTGAGACTATAGATATAGGGAGAAGATGAAGTTGATTGAAAATAAACTTGGTTCTTCAAATAGACATTGCGGGAATTAATTCCGATGGTGCGGCTTGATTCCTGATCCGCACCAGCCTCATATCACAACAAGTTCGAGTTGGCCCCTAATTTTAGCTCCAAGCCGTTGATCTGATAATGGCCTTTAAATTGGGTCCTCGACGGTATGAAATATCCTCAGATACCGAGCTGCTACTAAAAAAAAGCTATATATGAGACAGGCTGTCATCGCTTTAGGGATACGCATGGAGGTTGGTCCAGAGATAGGGCTGTCCTCTTCCAGGAAAATACGCGCCCACACTTAGTTACCTCCCGCCGCCACACTGTTCGAGTAGCCGCCGCCCCACGCGACCGCCTTGGAATTTTTACCCCTCCCAGCACAACCATTGCCACATAAGCCTGGCGCTAACAACTGCCTCTTTTTGCTCATCCTTGACATATAAATATCTTTCCTTGTATCCGGAAAAGCGGGTTAATATTCTCTTCCTCATAATTATACGAACATGAAATATGGCTGAATCAATCGGCCTAGCCTCTGGAATCCTTACTTTGGCGACGTTTGCGTTTCAATGCAGTATCTCCCTTTACGAAACGGTGGACAGCTTCCGTTCGCATCCGAAACGTGTGCGCGACCTTCTCGACGAGTTGGAAGCCTTAAGCGCAGTGCTAGCCCCCCCTCGTCGACCTGGTGAAGTCGAATTCGGGCGTCGATCTCTCATTTTTGGACCTACCACTGTTGCGGTGCGGGAACGTTTGCAAAGAATTCCAGCAGGAGGTTCTCCAATGTGCATCGCGGTCAAACAGTAGCCGAACAAGCTTCCGTGATTGGGCCAGACTGACGTATATGGGTGATAATATTGACGATTTTCGTGACTTGCTGGCAGGATATAAAGCCACGATCAATATTGCCTTAACCGATGCAAACTTGTAAGTCATTCTTGGCTGCGACAGCATGGCCTTACTTGAGCGGGCCTCTTTGTTTTGCTGGTTGCTGATTCCTCACAAGGCGTCTATCAGCGGTTGCTGTTGAAAATATCGGGGACTACGAGAGTCTTATCCAAGATGCGAAAGAAGACCTGGGAGCTCGACTCGAAAGCATTGATAGGAAGTTGGAAGAACTGGCTCAGAAGGATGTGGCTCCATCTGGAGCAGATGCAACTGAGCTTCGCTCGCTGAGAGAAGAGCGCTTGAGTACAGAGAAATGCCTTCAGATCTGCGCCCAGTTGTCGAGCCACATTGATCAGATTCAGCTGATGTCAGACGAGGCGGGTTCATCTCGGGGACCAGGTGGAGCTGAAGCGTCACCCGAATCAGTCACAAATGAAGGCCTACAAGAATGCAAAAATAGCTTGGCTGCGACGGCTACCAAGTTGGAAAAGCATATGCGAGATGTTATGGATCGGCTACTCGCCAAATCAAGGACTGCGACCTCCTCTGATGAAGATGCCCAAGATCTGTCGAGGCTGCGCGATGAGTGGGAAACTGCTCGGCAATGCTTGGATATATGCTCACGGGCGGATAGTCACTTAAAGGAGAACGTCAGCATCATCGAAAATCACGGCACTGGTGATTCTCTACAGTTTATGGTCTCCGCGAATGGAAAGATTCTTCACGGAAAGAACCGCGGCCTGGGTTGGAGGAACAGGCAAGTGGGAGGCTATATGAGCAATGAGTCAATCCAGCAGTTATCGAAAGACCTCGCGGCTGTTCATAGTAGTCAGTTAAGGGATAAAGTATCCATCTCAAACCATGGTTTCACGCCAAACCCAGGCGATATGGAGGAAGGTGAGACAACTGCCGAATTCAAGGAACGATATGGGCAAGGCTTCACTCTGAAACCAGCGCGTACGCCAGACACACAGAATCTTCCACGCAGTGCGAGCAATTAGTGTTTAGAGCTACCTCGTGGCGAAACACGTCACTAAACCGGAGAAGAACTTGCTTTTTCGGTAAAATATTTGGTCTGCTGGGAGATTCTATTTTCTTTTATATTCAAAAATCAAATCATACTTTTGCTTTCCTCGCCACAAAGTCTTCTGGCTGAAACGCCAGCGTAACGGGCTATTCTATCACATCAGGAAAACCAATAAATTGACGAACTACTTAGCAGTTCTCCGGATGACCAGATCGCACAATCAGCCCTTCTCCAGGCCCGAAAGCCGGGTCGACATTGATAAGTTCATCGGATTGTGGCTTGTTTTGCCGAAGGTGTTCCTGATCAGCCTGACCTAACGCAAGGTCTTTTGGCAGACAGCACCGCCAAGAGGCACGCTCGTTCTGGAGTTTCACAGACCCGCACCCATACAAAAAATGCCCCCATGTTATTCCTAGATCGTCTGAACGATGATTTTCAGGTTGCCGATACAATTACTAGCTTTTTGTTCTACAGTGTGTCTATTTTGCCTTTTTTGGAAAGTCGCCAAGTCTGCAGGTGCCAACACGCGAGAGCCTTGTGACGAGCATACAGACAAAGGGATGGAGGAAATGCTATCGACCCCGCTGTTTGTGGAGGGGGACGGCCCATCTGGCTCTCACGGTCCTGAACAACAAACGGCTTCACGAAGTGCACCATCTCCCTACAGAGAAAGATACGAAGTCGCAGCGCGCCAACATGTTTCTCGCCAAACAAACAATTTAGAAAATGAACTTGAATCTATGGAGCTGGAACACCTGGACCTGTAAAATGATTATTTCATCCTACCCAGCTTAGGTCAATGTAGTCTGTCGGGTGGAGATCACCCTACTCCCAGAGAGCTACAGAGCAAATCAGTGCTGGAAACGGTATCCTCTTGCTGTTCGACCGGAGCCCGCCCGAAATTGGCGATGATATGAGCGAATGCACCCAAATTTCGTTGGAAACAATCCCGCTTGAATGGATCCAGGACGAAAGAAACGAAAGAACAACAGGAGAGGACCGAGAGTCAGACACTGCATCTACACTCAGGGTCGATGTTCAGACACAGGTCGATTCTGCAGCACAGCGGCTATCTTCATCAGAGACGGGCAGTCTGTCAAAGACCTGCAGTTTCTTTGAGTTGGAAGAAATAGTGACCTTTCTTGATGACCTGAGGAGGGCCCAGGAGGAGTAAGAGTGGTTGGGAAAACGGATGGAGAGCGAGCGCAACGAAGAGCTCAATCTGCTTCATCATAATCGGTCTCCTCCCCCCGCCTGGAGAGTATCATCGACCAGAAACTATACAAACTTTATCACTGCAAACCTTTGATAACCAGCCAGAGGAAGCAATACACAGACACCAAGCACATACCAGCACAGAGTGGTCGGTCTAACATTCCCCTCCCCAGCCTCCGATGCAGGATGTGCCAGACCAACTACTTGAACAGCACGTTGAAATCAAGTTCTGGTCACTCGAACGAGGTGAGTAGAATCTATCAGACTGTCTCCTCATAGACTGGTCAGATCTGTCACCCGTCGAACGAGTCGCACGGAAGTACTGTACTCATGCAAAAATAATGCACTCTACGATGTGAACCTACACAGCCTACGTCCAGTCCAATGTTACCGTGCAGCCACAGCCGATGGCAGCAATGCCATTTTCTTGATTTCCGCGCACGAAAAGAACCAGCTCGCGGCCGACGGAAGATTTGGCAAGGAGAAACAGCTGATTTCGATGGCTTCACGAGTTGTAGCTGGGGCAGTGACAAGATGAAGCAACCTTGACAGTCGTGGGTGTGGAACTGATCAGTCTTCATATGAATGATTCGTACCTGGGAGAAGGACTGGAATGAGAGACCTGTTTTGAGAGGGTTCTCGTTCTGAGATGACCGTCCTGAGATCCTCTTAATCTTGAGAAGCCCCGGTAATAATAAGGCCCACATAATACCATGACAGATTACCCATATTTCTTCGACAATGGAGAGGCGCTTTGTCTAGAATATTATCGGTTAGCACTTTGCAATAGGTCTTGTCTCAACTACTGAACTCAATGTTTCCATTGAGCACTAGTCAGCACTAGTCAACACTCCAAACTGGAGCCGAGATCCCCGTATGATTATCTCTCGGGATATGAGCACATCTTCGCGTCCAAAGTAGCCCCGAAAACAGTTTCCGGATCGGATATTTCCTCCGACAATGGCTTGACCGGGCTGGCAAAGGGCACTAGAACATCATATTCGGACAATAATAAAATTTGGAACTTCGCCTATCGCTCAGGAATGAAACTGAGCGAAGAAGGTACTTTGTGGTCTTGAAGAAACAATAGCGATATCAAAAAGCAATGCATGTACCACAGTTCTGCTCCGTAGCGATAGCAGAAAACAACCTGGAAAAAAAGAGCTGTCAAAATGGGCAGATCCGTCACTGCGTATAGGCACTCACATACATGCAACTCAGACCTCGATCTCGCGTGGAACCCTAACAAAAGAAAAAGTAAAAAAAAAGAAGACGATGACGACGACGACGTAAACATCATTCAACGTTTGATCTGCGAAAACACACTGCCCATGATCAGTGAATAGATTTAAATGAGGTGACCGCTGTTGTGCCACCTCTGGTAGCGATAAAGTACAAACCCATGTTGATGAATGTTGAAACACGTCGTGGTCGCTTTTCTGCGGACCGCTGGGAGTGTTGAAACGGTGCCAACAGTGAGGAAGGGTTTTTCATATACTCATTCATCAAGAAAAAGCCGCGATGCCTCCGAATACTGCATCAGATCAATGGGTAAATGTTGAACCAGCTGAAATCTGAGGGTCAGCGGTGTTGAGACCCTCACATTTCGCAAGGATTATTACATCGACTCGAGAGTAAGGGTTGGATGCAATGCTATAAGTACCCGAACTCTCGCCAGCAGAACGGTCGTTCTCAAGCATTCCCTTGTCATCCTTGAACAAAGAATATCGAACATTTCTCGACCTCGCCAGCTACTATTCTCCAGTACGGACTGACCCGACCTCGGACTGCCATGCGGTTGTGATCGAATTGACCTGTTGTATCGCTCCTAGTCTTTCTATGCTCGACACTGAAATCTTTAAACGGCAGGTAAGTTTAGTTGCCCGATCATTTGAGACCATGCTAACGTGGAAGATGTTTAATATCAGTTCCGTCTCGGCTGCTCCTCTGGGAATTCAATCAAAGGAACTGGAATGGTCTCAATAATAAATCCAGGTTGCGAAGGTAGTGAGTTATGAAGGGCTCCTATAAGCTACCTAATAATAGTTTATCATAGATCGAAACCATCCACTGCCAAGCAGACTAGACCACACTAGGATTCCACGCGCAGCGGTAGCTGGCAAGGTAAGTTTCGGTCACTATGGCAGTTTCGAGAGTAGTTAGCCTGTGCTGACAGCTTTCCGTATATGAGGCCGATTGTTTTAACATGAGCCAGTCCATGTCTTGTAAGTTGCCCCATGCGTTGCCACTGCCTATCCCCAATGCCCGAGACTGCATTTTGAGCCTCAGTGCGGAGTCTATCTGTTTGTGGTTCTCTGTTTTTCGGAAAATATCGCTGATGTCTCTTTCTCATCATAGGGCGAATCTCAATATTGCCCTCGATACGACTAGCCGTATTCCCCATCGTCCTTGAAACTAAGCCAGGTGCACCAGCCAGGTATACCAGTCTGATGGGCCAAGCCACAGACTCCCAGTATGCTTGCGCCTTCGTTTCTTCGAAACACTTGGTTGAAACGGCCCTTCGCTCGACGTATTTAGTGGACCCGGCCCAGGAGGGCTCGATGCCCTCCGATTAGCCATACGGTAACATTCCAAGTGTTTTCATCTCTCCGGCATTACCCTGTCTGATCAAAGGTTAACTGTCAATGTATTAGGAACTTGCCGTATTCCGACGGCTATGTATTCCGACGGCTATGAACCTCTTGTCCCACATCTGATCCGAAGCCTCGTCGACAGCCACGAGCCGGCCCCACGGTTGACCGAGCGAGCCATAGCAGCATCCGATGACAACAAAGAGAAGCCTAGCACCGACAACCACCGAGAAATACCACGGTCTTTATGAAAGCAGGATCAGCCAATAATGCATCAAATTACCGACCACGAGCTGAGGGCCAGCGCTGTCAAGCCTGGTTGCAGCTGAGCAAGCGACAAGCCAGGCTGCAGCACTAGATCTACCAGGTCTCTCGTCGCGAGAACAGTCGTTTCAGGTCAGTTCCTGGTGAAACCTAGACCAAATATCATGGATTTCTCCAGAAGTGGCACTTTGTCCTGACACTGTTGAAGATCAGCCTGTCGCACGAACAGCAAAGACGAAACAGCTTTACATTGGAAGTTATGGCCCACATCCATTCCCCGCAGTACGGAGTAATCCCGGGCACTCTGCACGTGTGATCGAGCTGAGTCCGCTACATCTCTGGTTGACCTTCCCTGATACCAGACTACATTGACGGCAAGTCTGTACCACCCTCAGTCACCAGAAGTCATGCTGATATGGAGAGGCAGTGAAACACAACACTGGTTCGGCCGTTCCCACAAGTCCGATTGGGATACTGTATTGTGGCTGGTATTGGGGGATCTCATCTAGGCCACGAGCACGGTGAGTGGCGAACACCCATCTTGCGCCAGCTGCTGATAGTTGGTGCTAGATCGAGTGTATCCAACGGCAAATTACTTTGGCCGTGTCCCAATGCAGGCGGTGATCCTAAGCTGCCATCATGGCCTACTTGATAAACGAAGCTGGCAAGTGCGTTCTCATCACTAAGATATTTTGGAGGTCAACTAACCATGTTGTCAAGTCGCTATAATGAAGGTGGCTATTTTTCCCCGATGCTATGCTCAATGCAGCCGCAAGCCGACCGAATGCCTCCTTGATGTCACCACGGAGGGGCACCCGAGAGGCACGTACTCGCCGGCAGAAGCAGCCTCGCAAAGCACGGCCAGCCGGTTGCTTCGGCTGTCACAATTTTCCATTGACGATTC